ATAAAAGTTCTTAAGCCTGAAATAAAGAAGAATTCAATCGATATTGAAAAAGAATACTTAGAATTAAAGAAGATTTTATCTTCTCTTAGTGAATCATGTAACGAAGCGATCGATCGGGCTCAAACACTGAAAATTGAAATTTCACAATTAGAACAAACTCAAGAATAAATATATATATACTCAATGAATTTATATATACAATAGTCTACGCAGAATAAAAAAGGCAATAAAGTTAAGGACTTGTCATCTCAGATATTACCGAACAACTTAACAATTTTCCTATTGTAATTACAAGCAGCATTTTACAGTCATTTTACAAAAGCTAATATTGTAATGATATTTAAATATATGATTTGTCACTTTTATGACAGAAAGCTTGTCAAAATTTATCTCAGGAAACATCAGGCTTCGAAGCATTATCATCGCTTTCTTTGCATTCTCGTTGCAGTAAAAATTTATCGGTAAAAAATATGACGTTGTCTTCATATGTTTCTTTTCACCCATTAAAATACGTTATCATGAGGATGTATTATATCATAATTATGCAGTTCCAAATTATATATAGAGGATTGTATTATATCATAATTGTGCAGTTCCAAATTCTAATAATACACGTAATGCTAATAGATTAAATTTTCGTAAAAAAACAAACAAAGTTTACAATTATAAAATATACAATAGAATCGCTCAGAAGTATATAAACTTCTTTTAGGAATATCATACATACACTGAATGTTATAATTAAGATAAGTTAAAAATAAGTATAATTAGATAAGTAAGCAATGTTGTAATTAAGATTAAGTTTCAGATTTTCTGTATACATTTTTTTGTAGACATGTCATATTATTATTATATATTTTTTTTATTTTACTTCTAAGTATTACTGCGTCAAAATCTCATTCAATACAGGAAGCGCGAAAAGATGTAGCTATAGAAAACAGACCTGCCGCGAATTCGTGATAGCAACAGTATCGTTCACGAAGATGTACCGCGAGTATTCGATTTTTTTCCAGAATCGCGCCGACCGAACTATTTCTGTCACCGATCAAAATTGAAATTCCACTCAGGTACACTTCTGAAAGATATAATAGCTTTTCATTTATAATTTAGAAGATGATAAGTTTTGGAAAATCAAATTTCATGGATGCGATGAAATATTGTATATAATCAACTATTAATATTTGCATCAAATGTTAAATAAATTTTTTGTGTTAAGACTTGAGTCAAGTGAAAATTTTAATGTTAAAAATTAAAAACTTATGAATATAATACCTATGTCTATGCCAAAAATCAACTTTAAATTGATAAGACAACCAATCAGATGAAAGAATATTTCGCTACCGTCTGTATATTCATCGAACTTGCCGTCTTCGAACACAAAGATGTAAAAACAATTGAAAGAGCTCTCAAAGGATTAATTACAGCTTTTGTCGGAAGATTCGACGGAAGATATCGAAAAGTTATCGGTCAATATCGGCACGCTAGGAAAATAGCCCGAGAAAATAGCTCGGTCCATCTTTTATTCATGTCGCATCGACTGGAACCTCGGGCACTCTTTCTGTCTTTCTGTCCAAATTGCATCCGAATGTAACGCGTCCGCAACGAACGTGTCATTTTACGCGATAACACGTGCGTGTTACGGTATGCGTGACATGCGAACGGTCCAAGCCATTCACAATGGTCCGTCACGTATGCGACGAGAATGTATCGTAGGATCGTAAGGCACACTCGTTCCTTATTTATACCAAAGTTGGTCGTAAATCCGTGTATCATAAACAGAAGAAAATATATTAAAAATGTGATAATAAGAGTGAGAAAAGTCAGAAAATTTTAAAAAATAACCATCAAAGTAACTATTTATTATTCGTTACTAAAAAAAATATATTGGAATTACTTCTTCCGTTAAAAACAAATTTTATAACGCCGTTATCATTATAGCTATCGAAAAAAAAGTAACTGTTATGGTAACGTCTTTACAAAAAATAACGCGTTACTTCCCAGCCCTATATGCACGATTTCTGACACATATATGTTTCAAGGATAGTATATAATTTATAACATCGACAACAATACACATTTTTAAACATATAATTTAATTAACATATATGTATAAAACGTGGAAATTGGAAACAATGAGTATGTGAAGCCAATAAACAATATGAACGGAAAAAGAGAAGATAACGAGCTATTCGTCGGCCATTACATTCCGACTCGAAATATAATTTTGCAGCCTGTCCGTTTGTTTTCATACGTGTTTGTACCACGCATTTATTGTTTTCTTTTTCTATCTACACGTATAACGGATATCTTTACAAAGTATGTTCAGCGCATTGCTAATTTGAGTTACAGTTAAAGGCAATTTTTTTTAATTACGTGCATACATATGCGCGTGTAAACATAACGCGGAATATACGTACATAAGTAAAACAAATTTTATTTTCGGGTATCAGTATAATAATTTCTCTCTTAATTTAAATTATAATTATATATTGTAACATAAATTATATTTTAATATAAGATAAAGATTTTATTGTATTAATACTTGAATATTTTGAGATATACTTTTTGTTTTAATTTTAAAGACAAATCTTTATTAAAAATCGTGCTTTGATGTTTTCAGATAAAAGATTTACAAATACTTTATATTCCCATCTCAATCACAATGTTATACATTGTTAATAATCTATATTCTATCTATATTATATTCTAACTTGGTCCTATAAATATTCAGTTATTCTTAACGAATTTCATTTAAAGCACAATAAATCAATAACAGAATAAAAAGCGCTAAGTTCGCATTTTAAAAACCAATTAAAAGCTCAATCGTAGATAAAATTAGCGATAAAAGAAAAATGAGGAAAAAGGAAAAAAGGAGATAAGGAGAATCTACGAGATGGAAGGGGTGGATCGAGACGGTAAATTGTAATAACATTCAAGTCATCGCATATCTGTATGATTTTTAATGAAAGAAAGAAGAGAAAGTTAGAATTTTCTCCAAATTTTATGTAATTTTGCTTCTACGCGACGCGACTTTTTACATATCGACGACAATGGACGCACCGTCGCGTCATGGCCCCCACTCATTATCCGCGAATTATTTATTCTATGCTCGTCAATATTAAATCTACCTCTATGATTGAAACATCCTGCTGGTAATTAGCTTCAACATGTATGCCGCTCATAATCCTCGCGAATCCGCTTAATTTTATCAGGATTGGCAGATTGAACCGACTGGAAATCGCGCATCTCCCAAAAGCAGCATCACTAATTTCTCGCATTTTATAAATACGCGTATAAATATATGTATACCTAGAATTTTTCAAAAATTTGTTCGAGATTATAATGTCATTTTGCAGAATAAATATATTAAATACAAAAATCGGGAATTCATATATAATATAAAAAGTAATATTATAGAAAAGCTTGCTCACGCACGAGATGCTGATTGAAAACAAAAATAAGAAATTTTTAAAAGAATATACATTAATATATTAAACATATATTTTATTAAAGATGTATATATATTTTTGTTCTTTACGTTAGCAAGTTTACAAGCTTGTTTCAAATTCTTCAATACAAGGTAAACAGTCAAAATCAGTCAAAACTTTGGCCATTACTTCTTGGATTTTTATATCATGAAATACAGATATTAAACGTAAAATTATTCATCACCATGCAAAGTCATTCGCATAATAATGAATGTGCATTCTCTACGTTGATATAAGATGTTTAAAAAGAATAGACAAAGATGAAGATTGCAAGAAGCAAGATAAACGTTGAAATATCGATATTGAAACATATTTTCGTCTTTTGCGAAATTAAACCACAGATCTTATTTCGTGGCTTGCTTTTAGATAAACGACATAGTGTGTCGTAACATTTAAAAGATATGACTGAATTTAAGTCAAATATGTTTTATGCTGTAATTAGATAGAACAATCTAATTTTATATAAGAAAGAGAAACGAAGCCGGATCTATGTATATTTATTTATAAAAAGAATTTTCTTCCCATCGTAGAATCCAATTTTAAAAATTTACAACTGACTTCTTTTCAGTGACAATGAATATAAAAAGTCTGTAATACAAAGACGGTCACATATATACAAAGAAGAGTATTCTCTTATATAAACTATAATACGATACCTTGCACTGTAAGAAAAGTATCTAACGATTCAGATATTGAACGAAATATCTATAGTAAATATACATTCAAAGAGGAGAAACTTCTCGCTCGATCGACCGACGATTGAGAATATCTTGAGATTCCGTGAAGATCTATTTCTATCTTGGTGACATCTTCCATAAATAACCGCCGATGTCTATCTTTGAAGTCAGTCGAGCGAAACCTACGCAATATATATTTCTAGCAAAATATCGCGCCGGATATTTTAGAAGATCTGTCAAACAGGTACTTCTGTTTCCATTGCCTGCGAGGCTGAAAATTTAATCGAGTGCCAGCAAAGTAATACATACGGATTTAGGTCGTTTCTCTCCACCATATGCGGTTGCTTTGCCGGGCTGCAGATAAATAATGCAAAATGATTTTTAGAACGGCTCTAGAATTTTATTTTGAATGTAATTTACAACTTACAGTAACTGTAAAACAGAATTATATAACATTCACAGTGGAGAATACAAAGTACTGTGTTTTAAAAATATGATAATCGACTGATTTAATAAAATCTAGGGCACCTGTATACACTGCAAGTGTGCATAATATAATATACTTGAATAAATAACAGAGAAAATGCATACATAGAAGAAAATATACCAGACAAAATACACACCTAGCATATATGTAAAATAGACGATAGTTGCGAGAGATTTATAATTTACTTTCGTCTTTAATCTTGTTACTTGTTATAATATTTTTTCATGCAGTAAAGTAAACTTATTGTAGAGCATAAATTATATAAATAACTTGCTTACATATTAATACTTATAATTCGCAACTATACTATTCATCAGAACAAATTATGAAATAAAATTCATATTTCAGGTGACTTGGATCAGGCGGAAAGATAGACAACTACTTACAGTAGGTCGAGACACTCACTCTATAGACAAGCGTTTCCTTGTCTTAAACAATCCTGATTGGAGTCTCTTAATTAAGAACGTCAACCAGGAAGATGCAGGCCTTTATGAGTGTCAGGTAATGCTCACTACTATTTGCGTTATATTTATTGTAATGTTTACAGAAAAACTAGCCATTTTCGAATATCGATATTGTACTAATTAAAAGAGTTATAGTATTGCCTTGTAATATGTATACCTCTGCGTCAAAATATGACATTTTTTAAAAGAGATTAGACATGCTTGATACACAATCATATTTCTTTTTAAATTAATTATATATATGATTAAATTTCTTTAAATTTAATTATAAATTTAACATAAACCTAAACTTTAAATCATAAAAGCTATTAAACGTAATTATTGCAATAGTATACTTTAATAATATGTTAAATTTTTTCATGTTAATAATTAAATTTAAGCGTTTCAAATATAGCTAGGAAAAAATAGGTATCTATTTCCATAAAGATATGTAATTTTAAATATCAACCTGATTTATTTCGATCAGTATTGCGCTGCCGACTCTTTTATATTGTATTATTTTTTTTCTTTTCGTTCGTGACTTTTAGAGAAAAATTTTCATCCATGAAAAAATAACAAGTTAACAGGACAATCGCTCAACATATCGACCTAGTTTATATTACGCTAACTTTTTTACTGGCTGCGTGCATCAAATAGTTTACGTTTATCCGGCTCAACTAGTAGTGACGATCAATCGCGGTCAGACAGTAGTAACATATCCCATATGTATGACTAATACTAACAGCATTTTTACGATGCCTGTTAAAAATTTTTCTCGACAATAACTTATGACTATAATATAATACAATTATATGTAATATCGCTAGATATTTATTCTTAATCATACAATAGTTTACAATATATAGTATTATTATTTTTCATGCTTACCGTCATATGTTAATGAACATATAAAAAAAAATAAAACACTCTCCTCCCATAGCAATCAATAATAATTATATTAAATATATAAATAAAAATCTAAAATATA